TTTCAGACCACTACTAATACTCTCTCTCACATGAAAGCTAATAAAACCAAAACTTACAAGTGTATTTATTTGTGGTTAAATCCACATGCAGAATTAATGCTAACCAAAGGTGGTATGTCAAGACATAAGCATTTGTATTTCAGTCTTTCACTATTTAGTGGTGGAAATAACAAATTTCCAAGATCATAGTACTATGCCTTTTATCCAAAGATCTTGACGTGCTTCATAAACTTTAATTAAACTTCACAGCATGACTATCAGTCAGGTAGAAATCCTATCATTTTCAGAAAAAGCATGGCATGGCCTTCATTCCTTGCACAGCTGCTCTGATTACATATTGCATTTTCTCTGCTGTGTTTTACTGTGGAAAAATATATAACAGCAAAGCAAAAGGCCCCAGTGTGCCCAACCTTTATTAGCTTAATTTTCTTACTTATTTCTTACTTTGTTGACAACACTGTTCGTTAAATGTTGCCTTTTTTAGCTTTACCACTGAATTTATGTATGTGTTCCTAAAGCAAACCACCATTTCTTCAGGACAGATTGAGGAAATGAGAGGGATATATTCATTAGCTCTTTTTCTAATTGCAGTTGCAATTTTAGTGGTCCTGTGCTACTTCTGACAAAAACCATCTTCAGCTGGATACGAGCCATATGAACTGAAGTTTGATATTATGTCTATAAATAAGAAAATCACAGTTACAAAATGATGGATTTAAACCAAAGTGCAAATCCTTTGAAAGAGATACTAAATTATGAAAGTGTATGCAATCAGCTTTCCTAGGTACCTATGGTTCAGAGCAACAATTAAAAAATATGTGTGAAATGTAACATATGTAGCTCAGTCAATCAAATATAAATCAGAAGAAACACTGTGCAGTACTAAAACTTTGCAATAAATTGTAATACTTGAAGAGTTAAGGAAAAATTCCACAGGACTATTAAAGCCTGGAGATAGGAGTAATTGTGCAAAACTTAAAATATAAAGTCCAAGAAAAAGACATTTTTGATGAAGAGGTCAAAGTATTTCACAAAAATATTGACACAATACGCATTGTCTCAACTTATGTGAGGTACAGATGATGTTAGTATTTAAAATTTATGTGGAAGGCAATGCTTTCTTCAAAGTCAAAACAAAATAGGAACTGGTAGCATGAAGTAGCTTCTGTTTTAACAGACCAGTTTTTCTCAAAAGGATAGTACAAATAATACTATACTCCCAGTTAGCACAGGATCTATTCATGAGCTTCCCTGGCAGGGCATGGTCAGTACTATCAGGTTCACATGCAGGCAAGGAGATGTCTGTATCTGTGACCCTCTGTGGTGCTATTCAGTGATGAGGGGAAGTCACAAAAAGCTCTCTTTCTAATCATATATTTCTATCTTGATTAAAAAGTTATCTGTAAGAATTTTTAGCTTGCATGTAGCTACTGTAGTATCTTCTGAGAAAGCACATGTATGCAGGTCTGTGTCTGTATGTTTGCTTACATTATTTTTTCTGTTATGAACACCTTATGACTAATAATTTTGAGCTATAATTGCTAAATTTTCTTTTAATTAAAGAGGTTATCTATAAATCTATATATTCGTAGCTTAATCACACGCAATTTTTATGTCAGGATATACTTAATCTCAGTGTCACTGAAATGTAACAATATCTATGAAGTATAAAATGTTAGCAAAGGAGTGAATCTGTCTACAAATCTACATTTATAAATCCCATTACCTACAAAGTTTACTTTATAATGGAGCTCATGGTTGTCACAAAACTTCTTTACTGCCCTTCTCCCTTTGGGGCGTACCTGCACTCCGATTCTGGACGGTGCTCCATCAGAAGTGTCACTTTGGGTTATGCAGCTTTGCTGACTGGCAGGAACTCGTTCCAGCATGAGACAGCCGCAGTGAAATGCCGCCTAACTGGGAGCATCACTGCAGAGGGACAGCTGATGGGCTGAGGCCTGCCCAGTGCAAGGTAAGCAGCTCCCAGCCCTGCCACTTGCCGCAGCAGCCAAACCCTGCCAGGCTAGAAACATGCCCAATTCTTCCTCGTCTGACAGGCTCATCACAGGGATATTGACTGCTTGCTCAGCTGCTTTGCTAATGGAAAGGATGAGCTGGCAGCTGGCACCGTGGCTGTGCCAGAAAAGGGAGTGTGCTGTGCTGGGCTCCCAGCAGCACTTGCATTGGCCCAGCCCTGTAAATGCATCAGCACGAGGCTGTGCCCCAACACATCAGCCTTTCCCTCCCCTGCTTCAGGTAGCAATGACGCTAAACTGGCAATTAGACAAGTGCCATCATCTCCCTTTCAGTAATACCTGCTTTCATACTACTGGGGAAAAAAAAAGAAAAAAAAAAAAAGGAAACAGTTTTTCTGAGTCTTTCAGTTCTTTACTCTTATGACATGAATGTTTTCTGCCTAGATGTGTTTTGTGTTACATAATATGGTTTGCCAAAATATTATTTTATATGTGAGTATCTATCTTATTTTTAAATTCTTTTGCATGCAAACCTAAAAATTAAGCTGATTGCTTGCCGTCCACAGAGTCTGAACTGAGAAATCTGCATCTCCAGATTCTAGGTCTATGCTATATACCAGCTTAGCCTCTGTACAATTTATTTGACCCTCTTAAGACAGTATGGCTGCTGAAGAGATAATAAGAAATCATTAATATTTTTATAATCTGCAAATTTTAAAAGTATTTAAGAACCTGCTGTCATGGCAATAACTGCTCAAAATAGCAGCTCCTAAAAATACTCCTGAATTTATTACATGATTAGCATATACGTGATTCCCAAAAGAACCATTTCATAGAGTAGTACTTTTGAGGGCCTACTGCCAGTGCATTAATGTTTTCAATGCTGTAAAATCCCTGGAAGAAAGTTTCTGTTATGAATAGAGACATTTCCTTTGCAGTGAAGGGGATTTTAACTGATTTGCATGATTAAACCTTTTATGGCTCCTTGGAAAATCTGGTACCTCATAAAATCATATAGTATAGGTAGTTCCCCCACTGAAATTTTTATCAATAACAGTAAACTTTCATCTATTTCCATTAACAATATATTTAAAATCGGGTCAGGCATGGTTTCCAAAATGGTAGATTCAGCATTTTACTCACAATAGCACTTAGTAATAACATTCAGGGAATTATGCTGCTTTATTGACGTACAAGATAAAGAAAAAATTTGAGATTTCATTTAAGAATTGGCCTCCAAAGGGGCATTCTGATGTTCACCTGGAGGAGCATGACATAATTTAAATGTGATTTTTATACGCAAAGATAGAGTTTCAAAGCAAGGAATATAACTCCTTATTAAATCATCATGAGTGCTTCACTTGTAAAAGTTGCTTGCCTGAGCATTCTGTCAGTAGCTTAGTTATGTTCTTCTGCCTGACAGATGTAGAATAGTGTGTAACAATAAGATATTGATGCAGCATAAGCCTACTCAGCACTTTTCTGGTGGCAAAGTGCATTAATGGCAGAGCTGTCACAAAGCATCCAAGAGAAAATGGAAACTACGGTTCAGAATAGCACAAGATGCATCCTACTGTCTTATACTGTTAAATAAAAGTAGTACTTCAGACAACTGATTAAATATCTCACAAGATTTAACTGGAGAAAATGAGATATTTTCTTCATACTTCAGAGAAAAGTAAGGTTTAAATTTCAAACAATATTTTCTTACTCATCAATCTAGGACATCAGCAATCATAATTGCTAATCAACTGCTTCCAGAACAGCAGGGAATGGCACAATTCCTTTTGTCATAGAGTAGCTACCACAGCAAAGCCGCTGTTGTGTTTCACTGAAATACAATACAGGGTCCTGGAAAATGTGTCTTTGGAAGGCAGGCTACAGACTTTCCAGATGCTGCTAAGACATTAATAACCAACATAACTAGCAGGTTGTCAGTGGGCTATTTTAAAATCTAACAAGTCCTTTTACATTAAAAATTAGGAAGAGGACCCAATCTCATACAATTTAGTACACCAAAGGCAAGAGCAATCATCTACACCAGCTGTGGAAACAACACTCATAGTCCACTGCAGGTTGAATTATTTCACAAGCTGTTTATCCCTCCTGTAAATTGTTTGAATTGGCATTGGGTAACAATTGACTTAATTTACAATTGTACAGGTAGCAAGAAGTATCCTACTTTGGTATTCAGAAAATTCAAATTAAACCTACTCTAAGCTCAGAGTAATCCACAAACATTCCCTGTGTAAATTTTCATTGCTTTCTTGTCACATACTCACGGTTATTCACCCACCAGAGAACATCTTGCATGAGTCATATAGTGTACCCATGAATCTGGAATGACACAGATTTAAGTCAGGATTTCTCTTTATCTGGAATATGGTATCAGTGAACTATCCTGTATCTGGAATATAGTACCTCTCTTCAACAACAGGCAGAGAACTGTTACCATTTTTTCACTAAGAAATGCTCGATTTTTACTTCCTTTTGAGCAAAAGTCACTGCTAGAAACTAAAGGCTCAGACACACAAAAAAAGCACCGGAAAAAACCACAAGGTAAAACCAGGAAAAAATCAGTCATGTTGCCATTACAGCACTGAACAGTTAAAATCCAAATAATTTAGCTTAGGAAACACATCTTGCATCACAAACATTAGGACATAATTGTCCTATTCCACATGTCTCTGGGTCTACACTGCTTAATGTCCAGCTTTTTAATTTATGCTTCTTATTACTGGGAAGACACAATACAAGAAAAAAAGAGTCAACAATTGTTTTTCAATTAGGCACTGTTTGAAAAAGAAAACCTGCAGAATTAAAAAAACAGCAGCTGCAGAAAAACACGAGTTTGGCCAGCATAACTAGAGGGGCAGCACCATTGTGCAAGAAACACTGTGTGCTGACTTGAGAGAAACACAACAGAAGTAACAATGGAATTCAAGAAGGCTAAAACCTGAAAAAAAGTGTAACCCTCCTCAGGAAGAAAAGAGAGCTAAGTGACTTGTTTGACCTTTCACTTACCATTTGAACCTCTGTTTTCAGAACTTCCATCACTTTGGCAATCCGGCATTTCACTCTCCTCTCTTAGATCTGAATGTTCAGGAAGCACGACACTCTTCTTTCCGAAGGAGATTTAGCCACAAGGATCACTTATTCTCTTTCATTTTCTGTCCCATTTTTTTCTGTCGTTCTTGAAGTACATTTTCACGTTCTTCCATAGGAGTATCCTCAGAGGACACAAACTGAACATTCCTCTTTGTTGCTGTGACTCTTGTAGAGTTTCCATTCTTTTTACATTTTCTTTCTGACTTATCTAGAAAGAGATATAAGAAAACATAATCCAGAACATGACTAAAACAGTCCTTCCTTCAAAATGCAGCATCCTCATCTTACTTGACTTGCAAGGAAGACGACCACAGAAGCTCAAGTACCATTGTCCATCTCCCTACATATGTCTAAAGAAAAAGTTGCAAGTTAATTAGATGAATTTGATATTAGATATATTGTAGGCAGGGAAGGGGAAAACACTGTTTCATATAACTAAAAACTAATTGATTATTCAAAAACTGCCATGACAACATTTTGGACTTCAAGAGGTAGCTATGTAGGAGTCATTAAAAGCCAGCTGGGCCATCAAGGCCAGGGTCTTATAATGTCAAGCAGCAACAATACTTGAACTCTGGATTTATCTCACATTTTGAAGCATATTTTAAAAAATTCAATTCCTCTGGCATGAAGAGCCAGCATCACAGGAATCTCCCAGGTCACAGGAACATAGGAGGTAGCAGTGACTTAAGCACCTTCTCCAAGAAAGTCTGAATAAAATGCAGCTTGCTATTAGAGATGAGTATACTGGCATCCACAGGTGCTGATGGCATTTTTGGTTTTTCATTACACTTGGGTATGTTTTGTTGATCCAGGAACAGAGCCCTCCTTTGGCATTACATGGATGTAAGAGGAAGCATAGTCTGAAGGATTACAACCTTGCAATAAAGAAAGAGCAAAGAATTGTGTCTTGCATGGTAGGTCACAAATAGTGAGACAAATCTTACAATGTTCAGTGCTAAAAAAGTTTCTTTATGAGATTCTATAATCTCTTGGCAGCATTGTTCAAAATCTTCATCCATTTTGTGACTCACTGTGAAATATGCAGTATCTCTCAAAGCACAAGCACTGTGCCTAGGGAGACAATCTGAAATTTTACACTCATTGTTTTCTACCAGCTAATGAAACCCTTTATTTTGCTTAGAATGATTTTGTTGTTTTCATAGGTAGGTTCTCAAAGGTTATCTCAGTGAATATTTTCATCATAACAACAGAAAAGTTCACACAGAATCACGTAGAATATGCCGAGTTGGAAGGGAACCAAAAGAATCATTCGAGTCCAACTCCTGGCCCTGCACAGGATGATTCCCAAGATTAAAGCAAAAGCAATAGTTACTGATCAACACATTGATAACAATTTCATGCCCAGTTTATTTAATGCTACAACATTTACAGCCTTGCAAGAAATACTCTCTGTAGGTGTTTAAAATTATCTAATCCCATATCTACTGTCTACAGATGACATTTATCAAGTTATGCATTTAAAAATTTTCTAAATTAGGGATAAAAATACATCCTCACCTTCGGGACCCTAATCTGGGTTGTATTCTAAAACATTGCTACAGATTAGATATATGTCCTTCAGAAAATCTCGTGCAGTTAGGTGCTGGTGCAATCTTGGAGAGAAGTGTTCAGAGGTCCTTTGGCTGTTTAATAACAGCATTATGATCAGGTGCCTACAAATGAAATATTCCTGCTCAGAGATTTTATGCAATAGCTAGCAAAATTAATTACATTCACAAAGTCAAATTTGGTGTTTCTTAAAAACACCAAATATTTTTGAAGCATCCAAAGATGCAGAAATTAACCAGTTAGTTTCCTGAAAATAGAAGGGCTATTTCAGCTGGCTTTGAAGAGACAGACCAGAAGAAGCAGAAAAAAAAGAAGCAGGAAGGTAAGAAGCATGTGTGGGGCAGAGAAGGGAACAGGCACCCAAAGTGGGATTCATTTCACTTCCTTTCAGAAAATCACAGCAAAGAAACCTGAGATTTTCTTTGTTGTTGGCAGCAAGAAAAAGGTTGCAGGAATTGAACCTTTGAAGCACCTGTCCTAGTCATCTACTTTAGAATGAAATAACTGGACACAGAGGTGCCAATTTCTTTCTACTCAGACCATAAAAGGAGCCTAATGGCTAGTTTAGATGAGAACATTTATGTTTGTCTAGGTTATTCATATCTCAGAAACTACAAGGAAAGGAAAAGACAAGTCAGTGGATGCTTAGCAGAATGGGACTGAAACACAAAAGTCTTAAAATTACAGCTGACTTTGAAGTATGTGCCCTAGCTTAAACTTATTCAATAAATTAAATGAGAAGTGTATAGAGAGTGTATAGGAGCAAGACAAAAACACACAGTCCTTATTGTTGATCTTATACCAAGGAAAGCAACAGAAGAAACAGGGAAAAGAATCTGATAATTTATTTGACAAACTCCTGCTTGTATTCCTCTTCTTGCAGAAACCATTGACAGTCAATTTAAGAGCTTTAGGCTTTATTAAAACAGCCCTATAGGTATTGGTTATGACTATAAAGAAAGAGATCTCTCTGCTTTTCAGTGCTGTAACACGCCTACATATCCAAGCCTTTTCATAGGCAACCTTTGCTAGTGTTTGGTGTAACTGGCACTTGGACTAGATGATCCTTGTAAGTAACTTCCAGCACTTCCAGTGGATGCCACACTTAAACTAATCAGAAAATTTTAGTCAACTGATGCAACTGCAAACACATTAAAAATCAAATGCCATCACATGAAAAATGATTGAGAGAAAATTACCACCAACCCAAATACTGTATTAGCTGCTAACTTACAGTAGCAAAGTTTTATCTGTACAATATCCTCACCTGCATTATTTTTTGATGCAGGAATTTCAGCAGCTTCATAACAGTCCTCAAAAACAGTTTTCTTTCAGCACAGGTAGGCCATGGGATTTTGCAAACCTCGTCATGATCATTATTAAACAATGCTTATATCTAGAGCATGAGAAGAAAAGATATTTCAGATATAAGACCACACAAATTTTTTATAATCTCTTCCAAAAAGATGAGTACCAAAATTAAACTGAATACTCATCTGGATAAGACAAGCTATGAAAAGTTATCTTCTTGGCCTTAAAAAGTTATAGTACAGCAAAAATAAAATACCTTCTCTAAGAAACACCTTTTAGAGTTTCAATTCCATGAAAAAAATGTATGATAAACTAATGAGAAAGGGATGAGATTCACCACCCTCATGGCTGCTTATTTTGTTACCTATTTTGTTGTCCTTTAACTTGAATCTTTATGGCAGCTAGAGAGGGAACAGGCAAGGCTCAGCAGAAAAGTGCCAGCTTTTTGGTAAGATGGGGGTTTTTAAAATTTTATTTTTAATAATTTAAATAAGGTGCCTCATGTTGCATACTTCCGAGTTGTACTCTGTTTTTCCATCTTGACTACCAAAAGGTATGGAAGGAATTTCAAACCTTATTATAGAAGGCACTCATTAACGGTATTAAAACTTCTGTTGCTGAAACAAATTAATCAGAGAGGCATATTCATATTTTGAGCACCTTCCTTAAAGCACACTGTCAGATGTCTAGAAAGTTCAGCATGTCCTCTCAATGAATTTTGTTAAGCAATGCAACTAAAAATTTATTTCCAAGTTACTTAAACAGAAGTTGGACCTTAGCTTTCTAATTTGTCAAGTTTTCACATAGCTGAAGTGTGGTGGGGCAAAAACAGTTTTCCCCCTGAAGTTATAAAATGGTAAACCCCCAGGGGGTGGTGACCCTTGAGGTTCGAGCCAATGAGCGCTTCTGCAAAATATAAACATATCACAAGCAGATCGGAAAAGAAAGAAGTAGTAGTGGTTGTGGGTGAGGTGACCATGTTGTAGAGCCACGAGGAGAAGCAGGAGGAGTCCCACTGGGGGCTGAGTCGAGGACTGTGTGTTTTTGTCTTGCTCCTATACACTCTCTATACACTCTATACTGTTCCAAGTCCCTGCAGCCCCCCCAGTGCAAGACTGGGCTAATATCTGTAGCTGATAAGGTAGAAGTTTCTCCACCGTGAGCAGCAGCAGCAGCAGCAGAACAGCACTGACCGAGGAAAAGTGGCAGAGAGCCAGAAGAGATAAGAGATAAGAGAGAAGCAGCAAACAAGCATGCAGCCGAGCAAGAGAGACACAGAGTTGTCCGAGAGAAAGAGAGTCAGCAGCAGAGAGAGCAGAACTAAGCTCTACAGGAAGAGAGAGAGTTGGGGTAAGAACTGAACCAAAACCCCCCAAACTCCTTGGAGACCCCTCCTAGAGAGAGGAGGATGATGGACTCTTACTTGAAAGAGTCTTGGAGTGCTACAGCACTGCAGAAAGGAGCTGAAAAGTTCAGAGAAGGAATGCGGAGGGGGTGACCTTGCCCTCCCCCACTGCTACTGCCAAGCTGGCAGTTTTGAGTCGGAGCACGGGAGTTCTGCAAAGGGGGCTTGAATCCCCTGAAGATACAGACCGTCACAAAGACCCCTGAGCTTCATTGATATGACTGTGGTGAAGTGACCTTTGTCCGGGTGAACACAGCCCACGGAAGAGAAGACCCTCGCTTGAAGTCGAGTGGCCGAGAGGGCTTGGATACCCCCTCGTGTGTACTGGCAGAGATCCAGCTACAGCTGCTGCATGGAAGAGAGAGAGAGAGAGAGATAGACTGCTGCCCTGGAGAGAATGCTGCTCTGAAAGTGGAAAGGATCTCTTCCTTCTTCCCTCCTGGACTTTTATTTGGAAGGGAGAAGAGATTTGATCCATTGTAAATATTGCTCTGTCATGGTAGAGATAGTTAAGTTTGTGTGTATAATGTATTGTAATATTTATATTTGTACAGTCATTGTAATATATTCCCTGCCCCCATTTTGAGTCTTGTCTGGTGTCTGGAAAACCCATCTCACACTGGGTTGAGATGTGGGAGGGGGGCTAGGACTCAAGAATTGGATTTTGGGGCCCTCAAACCATGACATGAAGAAAGAAATTGAAATTTTTATGAAATAATTTAAACTTGAAATTACATTCCATGAGTAGCAGTGTGACCACTGTTCTTTTTCAGTAAAAATACCTTTCACTTTTCGGTAAAGATGTTTTCAGAAAAAACAATCTTTTTCCTAGCTACCTTTCAAGCACCACATATTCTTCACTAATTAGGGCACACCTAACCATCTTGAAGCCACTGAAGTGAATGTCTGAAGTAAATCTA